TTAGTGACCGTTCAAAATTACAACGGCACTGGAAAAAAAGCGACATGACCGTTTTTCAGAGTTACAACCTTTGAAGCATCTCCATGGTCATGTGACCAAAATCCAGGCACCTGGCAACTGCTCCATATTTATGACTGTGGCTACGTCCCAAGGTCGTGCGATCCCCTTCTGACAAGTAAAGTCAATTGGGAAGCCAGTTTCACTTAACAACCATGTCCCTAACTTAACAACTGCAGCGATTCAATTAACAACTTTGGCAAGAAAGATCGTAAAATGGGGCAAAACTCCCTTAACAACTGTCTCACTTAGCAACAGAAATTATGTCAAGGAACTCCCTTTCTACCAACAATTTTATAAGATGAACAATGCGAGAAGCGCCGGTAGAAGGCACATGAAATACTCAAATTTTTAAGAAGTATATGTAAAGTCAATTCACTTAAAGACCAGGTTACTAACTAATCAACTGCAGGGATTCACTTAAGAACTGTAGCAAAAAAAGGTTGTAAAATGGGGGCAGAACTCACTTAACAAATGTCTTACTTAACAACAGAAATTTTAGGCTCAATTGTGGTTGTAAATCAAGGACTACCTGCATTGTTAAGCAAGAACAAACAGGAGGGAAAAGGAGTGTAGGTAGTCCTCTACTTACAATAGTTCATTTAATGACTGTTGGAAGTAACAACGGCACTGAAAAAAGTGTCTTATGACTGTTTTTCAAACATACGACCACTGCAGCATCTCCATGGTCACGGGATCAAAATTCAGACACTTGGCAACTGACTCATATTTATGACGGTTTGCAGTGTCTTAGGATCCTGTGATCCCTTTCTGTGGCCCTCTGACAAGCAAAGACAATGGGGAAACTAGATTCAATTATCAACCATGTTACTAACTTAACTGCAGTGGCAAAAAAAGGTTGTAAAATGAGGCAAAACTCAATGGGCTCGAATATGGTCATTAAATCGAGGACTACCTGTATATTTCTTATGCAGAGTTAAAGATGAAATTATTGAAATGGTCTAGACCAGTGATCCCCAACCTTTTTTATGCCGCGGCCCGGTACCGGCATCAGCTGGGCGCTGCGGCCCGGTACCGGCATCAACTGGGCGCCGCCATCTTTTTTTGATGAAAAAGTGCTTCCGGTGACCTCACCGGAAGCACTTTTTCATCAAAAAAGATGGCGGCGCCAACCTTTCTGTGGTGCGCTATCGCTTTTTGATGACAATGTGCCCCCAAAGACCCACCGGAAGCACTTTTTTAACAAAAAAAGATGGCGGCGCCCAGCAACCAGCGGCCCGGTAAGACTTGTTCCGCGGACCGGTACCGGTCCGTGGACCGGTGGTTGGGGACCCCTGGTCTAGAATGCTGCTGGTAATATAGAAAAAGAACCACATAACACGATGATTGGAAAGGTCTACTACTCAAAGATGGTCTACTTACAGTTTTCTGGTTTGGCCCCAAGTTCTTCTACTGCTTGCATGTTATGAATCTCCAGCCCTTTAGGATACTCCGATTTATTGATAGTCTTATTGTCCACATAAATGATGTATTTAAGGCAGGGAATTTTTGACAGTACATTCTAAGGAACAAAAATAGTTGAGAAATGACTGTGGGAAACCAAGCAGAAGTTTGCAATGCACGGCATATGTCTGCGTTTGCTTCTCACGGTTGTGAAAATTTGTTGTTGTAATAATGTTTTAAGAATATATTCTTCTACTTTTGACTGTTCATAAACCATCAAAATATGAAGAAATCTTATTTATACAGCTTATGGCATTTCCAAGGCAAAGAAGTTTCATGTAAACTAAAATGGCTGTTTTCAAAGTTTAGTACAGAAATTATAGCTGCTGGGCAAGTTATTTGTCTGCGATGATTAATTTCTGACAACTTTCAAGTAATTGTTAAGGTTATGACCACACACATTTTACAGTCTCATTGCAAATTACCACTGACTACAGTTTTATAGTATACTCAGAAATTCAGCCTAATAAACTTTAGAATGTTAATCTTCTTTAGTCAACAGAGTACCGCAATATACCATTATATCAAAATAATATAATGTATGATGTACTATACATAATACAAATATTATTAAAAAATAAAATAAAATGTAGGCTTTCCTTACAGATTAAATTATGTTAGGCCCCCATTATTCCCAGTATCTTTTAGTAACTCAGCTTTGATCTAATTTTATTTTGATCTAATATTTAATTTTACTATCATGCTTACAGAAAGATTTACCTTCAGTTTGCCTTCCAAAAGATCTAAGCTAGTGATTAGAAAGGATGCTTCACATTCATTTAATCCATAGGTTACTGCCTCTTCTCCAAGGGTTGCATATAGGGTAACAACTATTTAAAAAGCAAGAAGTTAGTAAGTAGATCAATAACTAATTCAGCTGAAGCAGTAAATATTCCATGTTAATTTTATGTTTTGTGTACAAGTAGACCTCAACATACAACAGTTCGTTTGTTTTACGTTACAACAGCACTGAAAAAAAAGGCTTATGACCGTTTTTCACACTTATGACCGCTGCAGCATCCCCCATGGTCCTGTGATCAAAATTTGGATGGCTTGGCAGTTGGCATGTATTTATGATGGTTGCTGTGTCCTGGGATCATATGATCCCCTTTTGCGACCTTCTGACAAGTAAAGTCAATTGGGAAGCCAGTTTCACTTAACAACCATGTCACTAACTTAACAACTGCAGTGATTCAATTAACAACTTTGGCAAGAAAGATCATAAAATGGGGCAAAACTCCCTTAACAACTGTCTCACTTAGCAACAGAAATTACGTCAAGGAACTCCCTTTCTACCAACAATTTTATAAGGTGAACAATGTGAGAAGCACCGGTAGAAGGCACATGAAATATTCAAATTTTTAAGAAGTATATAAATAGTCTGTTGTAGGTGTAAAAGTATGAAGACTTGACCCCCTAATAAATTATCTGGTCTTAAAACAGATCATTTTATTATTTCATGTTGTATGTATTTGAACCATATGTATAAATGTCACCATTAATTCAACACAGGCACCAGTTTTTTAAGCTATCTTTGTGCTCGGGTGGGATTCGAAAATCCCAGCAATCAGTTTGCTGCCCGGGGGGTTTGCTGGGTGGGAGTGGCCTACTGGAGCTTCCTGTTTATGGCTTCCGGTGGGCCTCCAGAGCCCAGGGGAGGCTGTTTTTGCCCTCCCAAGGGTCTGGAGGCTTCCCCTGGGCCTGTGGAAGGAGGGTGAAAACAGCCTCCCCCGGGCTCTGGAGGTCCACCGGAAGCCATAAATAGGCCTGTTTGGTACTTCCAAACGTCTGGTACTTCCGGGAGGACCATTTTTTTGCCCTCCCAAGGGTCCAGAGGCTTCCCCTGGACCTCTGGAACGGCGAAAACAGCCGCCCTCGGACTCTGGAGGCCCTCCGGAAGCTGCAAACAGGCCCATTACCAGATTTCTGGAAGGCCCGTTTTCCCTCCTCCCAGAGCCTCCGTGCAGACCCTGCACTTACCTCCATCGAAAATAGGCCGCGTGGAGGCTCCTGGGAGGGGAGGGGCTGGGAGGGGGGGCAGGGCCAGCCGGTCGGTTGAAATACCAGTTGTAACTTTAACATCCGGCTCACTTGAACCAGTCCGAACCGGTAGAATCCCACCCGTTTGTGCTGGTGACGATGTGACACTGAAGGCAAACGTCTTTCAGGAGTGGTGACACGCTGAAGAGAATCGTCACTATGGCCCTTATTTATGGAGGTGAAATGGAGCACGGATACTCACGAGGGAAGTTGTACCGGAAGCAAGACTGGGCGGCAATAAACCATTCGGCTCGAGTCTCGCAGAATACGGCCACGGTGCTCTTGGGCTGCAATCCAAGCGCCACTAACCCACTCCCAAAGTGCTTCGCCTTCTGGTTGGTCTCTTCATAGTTCAACCACCTATAGTTTCCTAGGATTAACTGGTCAAGATTAAACATTTGATCAGATAGCGTTAAAGCAGGAGGATCAAAACAAGAAAGACTTTAAAAAAAAACGAAACAGTTCAGCCACTGCTGATCTAAATCCATTTATACTGGATCAGTTTTGATTATTATTTTAGAAACGGTCCAAGCCGCTCTAAATTTTCCTCTTCTGTTCCACTCACTTGGTTCAATAAAAGGAACCCCCTCTGAAACACTTCAAACTCTTCTATCATGTAAGGGCCCATTTCCAATCTAGAGGACAACTACTCTAGAACGTGGGATTGCACCTGTATCAGCACAGCAAAGTAACAATGAAAGGGCCATCCAAAATCCATACTTTCATGATGGCCACAGTAGAACAAACAGAAGAGAGTTCAAAAGGAAATGGGACAACTAAGAAATAATACTAGTAGTCCTCAACTTATAACCTTTCATTTAGTGACTGTATGAAGTTACAGTGGCACTGAAAAAAGTGACTTGTGACTGTTTTTCATGCTTATGACTGTTGTAGCATCCCCATGGTCAGGTAATCAAAATTCAGACACTTGGCCATGAGTCAATATGAATCAATATTTATGATGGTTGCAGTGTCTCAGGGCAGGGGTCCCAACTTTTTGACTTTGGGGGCCACCAAACTCACAATTTTAAATCCTGCGGACCACTAATATGAATTTTGACTGGCGGTAGCTTGCTGACATTGATGGGAAAGTCGGTCCCGTATTCCAGAGCTGCAAAAGTCACAGGAGTGGCCCTTTGGTCATCCTGGAGCAGCTGCTCCTCCACCCTGGTGCACCAGCCTGTCATGGACTGGAGGAGCTGCTCTGGGATGCAGTAGTTCTGTGACTACTGCAGCACTGGAATATGGGACCGACTTTCCCACCGTCAGCAAGCCACCCCCAGGCAGATTTCCCTCCCCCGCCGTTGCTCTTACCTTCCAGTTCCAGCTCGCGTGGCTCTACTCAAGGTAAGGTTTGTGCTTGGCCGAAGGGTGGGGGCCAACGGGTGGGCGGACCATGTGGGTGGCGCAGCCTTATGTTCCCGCGCATCCTGGATTAATTGCTTTTGGGGGGGGGGGCTTTTCTCTGTGGACCACCAAAATTTTCTCGCTGACCACCCGTGGTCCCTGGTCCACCGGTTGCTGACCACTGTCCCAGGGTCATGTGATTTCCCCCCCTTTTTGCAACCTTCTGGCAAGCAGATTCAGTAGGAAAACCAGATTCACTTAACCACCGTGTTGCTAACTTAAAAACTGCAGTGATTTTTTTTTTAACAACTGTGGCAAGAAAGGTCATAAAATGGGGCCAAACGTAGCAACCATCTCACTTAGCAAAGAAATTATGGGCTCGATTGTGGTCGTACCTCTCTTTCAAAACTAATTCTAGCTTTTTTCCTCTTGTCCTGTTGAAAATCAAGACAATTATATCTTCATGCCTCCTGAAAATCTTTTGGGGAAGATGATGTACACCTGCTTAAAACTCCTTTACCTTTTTTGTGAACTTGCAACTAAAGTCTAATGAGGACGTAATGATAACATAACATGATATGGAAAGTTGATTAATATATGAATATAAATTTAAATTTAAGAGGGAAGACGATAGATATTGTGCACAAGAAATATGTACCAACTGACACACTGTACAACTGAAAGGTTTTATTTGTTGTTTTGTGTTTGTTTATGTTTGTTTATGTTGTCAAAAAATAAAAAAACTTTTTACAAAAAAAAAAAAAGTCATTTACCTTTTTAAATACTTTTCCATTTGGCTGCATTTCGTTCTCTTCGCTCAGGACCTCTCTTGTTCCAAGACAGTCTTTCTTCCCAAACTTGGTCACAGCAAGGTCAAACAACTTGTCCAGTGTGTCCACTCCAGGAAAGTCTATATTGGCTAATGATTCCATATGCGAAACAGACCGATAGGGACTTCCAGGGCTGTCTGAGATGGGCTTAGCTTTTAAGCGCTTCGCCATAGCTTTTTTCTTCTTAACATTTGTAAGAAAATACCAGGGTATGAATACAAGGGCACTGTACACATTTATCAAAAAATACAAGGGGAACCACACAAAGATCCACAGTCTTTGTTTAAGATTCATAGTGAACAGCTTTCTTTTTCTTTTAGATCTGCCACCTGTCCTTTTGGGGAATCCAAGTTTCTTAAGTTTTTTTTTTTCTCAAGGAGGAAACAGCAGCAGGAGCAGCAGGCAAAAGCAGAAACGAAGACTTTAGGCGGCTGAAGTTTAGAAGAATCACTAAAAGGTTAGAAACGATCAGCAACAATCAGCAATAGCAGCAGCAAATTATTTGAAGATCATGGCTAATCAGAAAGCATTAGAAAAGCAGCAATAATTTGTTAGCTTCAGTCTTTGATTGGCTTCATTTCAACATGCAGCTGGGCCCCGGACACTCTGACATTTGTAAACAGCGTCATGGAATTTAAATCACTGCATCGGGAGGAAGCAGATCTGTTCAATGGATCTTTGCCCCACTCTAAATATTTAGGAGAATTAGGTAAACATTTTGCTCTTAAAATGTTATGCTTTTAATCCAATTTAGCAATATGACCATTACATCATTATGGTCAAAAGTCCATGGATTTCCTCCCACCCCCAAAATGTGAAAAGGCTAACAACATTTAATAAATAACATTTAATAAGGCTGTTTATGATTCTGACAATCATTTCTCTTTGTTGTTTATTGAACTGTTTATTTGCAGGATTTTTGTTATTGTAAGGGAAATGATGTGTTGCAAACTTAAGAAATCTGTTAATTATTACATACATTCTTTAGAAAGTTAACTTCAGCAGATTTTTTTTAAGTTGCACCTTCCAAGTAAATGTTCAAGCCAGCTCAAACTAAAAGATTAAAGTTAATAAAAAGGCCGGAAGAGAAAACCTTCAGCACAAAGACAAGGGTTGGATTAGGAGCACTGAAATAAATTTCAATATTTATAATTTCAATAAGATCTATTTTCAGCCCTCTGCCAATGATTAGTGTATTTCATGTTGCCAATATTCAGAAGAGGAAAGCCTCTGAAAAAAGGACATACTTTCTAGAACTTTTCCCAAAACTGGACGATCAAATGGACAGTGGGGAGAAAGGGAAACAAGCTATTTGTCAACTATTGCTTCAATCTAATGCTCTCCAGAGGTTTTGGGCTGCAATTTTCATAATTCCTAAGGGCAAGGCAAAACATCTGGAGGGCATATATGACAGAAAGTCAGTTCCAGGGCAAAACTGTAATGAAGCTCAAGAAAGATGTTGTAGCCTTCAAGCACTGTCTTAAAGTCTAGGCAACCAATTCCATCTTAAAATACTTACAGGTTGCAGACTGGATTCTCCCCATCCCAATAATGGAATATGGCTCGTCTTAGACTTCTGCTGAGTATTGTGGTTGTTTACTTACTCTAACTGGTTATTTTTGGTACAACAGCAGATTTATATATTTACTTACAGTCCCCAAATCACTGCATTAACCATGAACACCTGTAAGCTTCCAAGGGGACTTGAGTGATTGGCCTTCATGAAAACAAAGGCATGAGATTTAAATCCCAGCTACTGGAACGAAATGTCATGATTCCTCATTCCGGTTAATATAGAGTAGTATTTGTCAGGTGAGAGATGGATCACATGCTGAGTTCCAGTTATGCTGATGAGTTCCAGTTATTGGTCATGCCTTTACACAAAAATCTAGTCAACTAAAGGTCAGCCCTAAATTGGCGCTAGATAAGAGTTAATGGAATTCAAGAGGGTTTAGATTTAGATGTTTGTGGGAACGTAAGGACTCCAGGATGATTCCTCTCTTGACTCTGGCCCCAGAATCTGCCTGCCGTTCTCCTACAGTAGCTCCTTAAATGCTATTTTGATAATTTTTTTCACTTTAACATTCCAGAAGGATTCCACACGAAGAACATACACAGAAAATGTTAATATTACAATCAGTGCTTGACATAACACATAACATAAAGTATTATCTAAGAATGAAGCGCTTAAGAGGTTCTGAAAAAGCAAAACATGGAAGAACACAGTGATTCACAGCATCAATTCCAAATCAGCTTCCCTTCCCACTCATTTGGATTGGTAAGAAGCAGTTCCCAGAAACAGTCTCAAATCCTATTTTAAAACACCCAACTTTCTTCATTATTTCCCCAAATTAGAAAGCACAATATATTACATTTATATATTCTGCAAAGGCAAGACTGCTGAGTTATACAGGTAATTAATAGATGAATAAAGACAGGCTTCAATCAGACAAAAAACCGACACTCTACTTACATCGCTTCCAAGAGAACTCAGGTCTTCTAAACAAATTCAGTCCACAGCAAGGATGGGGAAACGAGCAGTATTTGTATCTAGGCTAAGAAAAAGTTTTATGTAAAAATTAGTAACTTAGTCTGACTGTTAGGAAGTTAGTAACTTTCTTGCTTTCCCATCCTGTTCTGGAGCATTCATGTTTATTTGGAAAATGTTGCGTCGAGGCAGTTTCAAAATTCAGAAGTGTTTCCTTCGAGTCATGGTGGTGATTCACGGATGGGAGTCCTTTTGCATCAGGTTAGCAGAGGATTTCAACTGTCTTTTTCTGGAATGTTTTTCCACTCCTCCAGGACTAGAAGACCTCCAATGTCCCTTCTAGTCCTGTGATTCTATAATATTCTACCCTAGTAATAACCAAAAGCCAGTAGTTTTGCCGGGTTTCTACCCAAGAATTCATTTTGAGCCATTTGCCCACGATTTTAGCAGACAGCAGACACGGTTTGTTAGGCTGTCATGGACTATTTCACACATGTATCAGATCAGCTATATAAATAACTTCGATCAATTATAAGAAAGCAACATACTAGAAACCAGAAGTACACAAAGATATATAAATTATTTCTTACTAAAATCTGAAATAGGACCATATTAAGTGGCAAAACTAAAGATTTTACTTATATCTTTATCCAAGGTTTATTTGAGCTGAAAACAAACATGCCTTATGCCACCAGACTTGAAACACTAGAAAACCTTGAATTACGCCTTCTTCGGTCTGATCTAAGTATGGTATATAAAATCATACATTGCAATGTCCTACCTGTCAATGAATACTTCAGCTTCAACCATAACAATACAAGAGCACACAATAGATACAAACTCAAGGTTAACCGCACCAAACTTGATTGCAGGAAATACGACTTCAGCAATAGAGTGGTCAATGTCTGGAATACTCGACCTGACTCTGTGGTTTCTTCCTCAAACCCCAAAAACTTTAACCTTAGACTGTCTACTATTGACCTCACCCCTTTCCTAAGAGGTCTGTAGGGAGCGTGCATAAGCGCACCAACGTGCATACCGTCCCTGTCCTATTGTTTATTTTTCTTATATGTACCCATTTCATGTATTCATAACTACGTATATACTTATACCTATTATCTTGTAAGCGATTGACAAATCAAAATAAATAAATAAAAATTTGTTATTAATGTTAATTGAACAACTGAGAATTCTCACATACTTCTCATCAGAACTAACAACACTAATCACAGTCCTTAGATTAGAAATGGAAGCTTCTAACCTGTGTTCAATTTCAAATTTAACACTAAACACAGAAGGGCAGAGTAAAAGTACACAACCTTGCAATATGTTACAGTAAAGGACTACGGTTAATAAAGTAAATCAAATAAAAAACTAAATTCTGGTGAAAGCAATCCTGGCTATCTTAAAACAATGTCATTATGACATTTAACCTGACCACACCATAAAAGAACAATAAAGTTATTCGTCTTCTTGAGTTTGTCAAACACAGAGAGAGACACAAAGCTATAAGAGATTCAGCTTCAGGAAGAAATTCAGGACTACCTTAATACTAAAATGGTACAAGAGGTTCATTAGAGGCCCAATCTCTCTCTCTCTCTCTGTGTGTGTGTGTGTGTGTGTGTGTGTGTGTGTGTGTTTCTTGAATATGTGCATGAAAATTATATAAGGTATGAATGAGAGAAGGGGAATATGAAGGAAAAAGACATAAAATGGTTGTATGTATGTGATTTCCCAAAGTAAATTTAGCAATGAATTTTAGCCTTAGCAAGTTTAATTAGATCAGTCTGTGTCAGCGGTGTCGAACTCACGACCCGCAGGCCAGAGTGCCATGTGGTGGCTCCGGCCCCGCCCAGTTTAGTGAACGGGGGAAAAAGTCCCAGTAGGTCACGTGACGCTGCTGTGACGCCGCGAGTTTAGCACCCCTGGTCTACGTAGTCTGATTCAATAAAGCAGGCGGAACCATGGATATGAATGCAGTATTACACAAACACAGCCAATATGATGGGAAAGCCAGAAAAAAAATTAGGAGAAAATATACTACCGGTACACATTTGGCAGCTCTCCACTTGTAAATACCGTAATGGAATAATTACAGTCACTGACTCCTGACAAGTTCATTTCAGGATCCCACTGCATTTTTTCCATCTGAGTCAGCACTTTTTACTGCCTTAAGCATGTAATATTCAGAATGTAAGCTGTCTAGACTAGAGTTTATTCACTTTTCAAAAACCCAACAATAATATTTCTGTGTTTTATTTAACTGTGTGGTTACCCAACTAATTCCATTTCTTACCGTGTATTAAAACCGCACGAACATGTTTGATGTAAAAGCGGTACAGGTGGTTCTCGACTTATGAGTAGTTGCTTAGCAACTGTTTGAAGTCCTCATGAGGGCTCCTTGGTGCTCTCTGAGCGTGCTTGTCTTCTTGCAGATGTTTCATTACCCAAACTAGGTAACATCATCAGTGCACTGGTGACATTACCTAGTTTCAATAAAGGAGAATATTTGGAGCTCAGGGTTGAAATGAGGGCTCCTTGGTGCTCTCTGAGCTTGGTTATTCTCTTGCAGACGTTTCATTACCCAAACTAGCTAACATCATCAGTGTTAGGGTAATGAAACATCTGCAAGAAAACAAGCACGCTCAGAGAGCACCAAGGAGCCCTCATTTCAACCCCAAGCTACAAATATTCTCCTTTATCGGTTCTGATGGATCTCCCTGGAATGACCCAGAATCCGTTTTAATAGCCTCCCCCCCCCCACGGTCAATGAATGCACTTTGGACGCTCGACAACCAGACCACATTTATGGCTGTTTGCAATGTCCTGCGATTGTATAATTGAATTTTTTATGATCGCTTTGTTAAAAACTGGCATTTATTTTTGGTGTTTTGGGGGGAAATGGTCCATAGCAAACCCCCTGTTCACTTAAGCCGTGAACAACTACAGTAAAAAAAAAGGTGGTAAGATCGAGTCAGCCTTGTGGGTGTCCTGATTTACAACCATCGTGAGTTACAACCATGATGCTCAAGCTCCATGGCAGTCATAAGTTGAAGACTACCTGTAATAACTTGGGGATGATGTTTTATATTTCCAGTAGCTAAATATATTTATAAGAATTGGCTAAAAATGTAATGACCTGGAAGGCATAGCACATATAGCCAAACAGTATTTTAAAAACAATAACTACAGTAAAAGCAGAATATTTTAGTGACCCAGGCACATTGCCGCAAAGACATTTGGGCATTCATGCCAAACTGCAAACGAGTATGAAGTAAAACAGCTATTCATGCAGGGGGGAAATTCTTAAAATGTGGGGTAAGTCCGTGTGTTTAAGAAGCTACGAAAGCAACAAAAGAGACATGCTTCTTTACATAAGAATTTCAGAAAAGTTCTGTGGGGAATTACGTATGTTTTGGGGAAAATAATTTAGAGTTGACCTACAAAGCCAAGGTAATTTTTGCACGACTTAAGTATTACTGGAAAACATGGAGGAAAATGTTTAACTGTCTGCAGAATACATAAATAACATTTTGCTATTATACTATCATTTTCTTGAATTATTTTAGAACAAGTTGACATATGTTTTGGAAATAAAACGCCTAGCCAACTCCTAGCCTGCACCTTTCCTGGCTTCAAAAGTATGAAGAGGAAAAAACCCGAGAAATTTCATAGTGGATTGCTAATAAAGGCCAAATTTGCCTGTTTCTTGGCTGTCTATTTGGTGGAAAGTTGAGACATTTATATATTCAGCCAGTTTTCCTATATGCAATTTTCCTCATGTCAATTTTGTTTCTACTCTGGCTTTTCCTACTTTCAGGCTGAAATTGCGTTGTTCAAAATACATTTTATGGCCCAAAAGCTAAAAATACTACTATGAACAAAATGAAAATAACCCATCAGACTGCCATTTTTTAAAAAAAGATTTTCCCTGTATTACTAAAATTAATGTATGTAGATGTCTTTAGAACAGCCCACTGCTGTTCCTAGCAATTTTAGATATATGTTCACTGGCAATATGCTTATGATATGCTTTCATCTGCATGCTCATGTCTTAGCAATGTCCTATCGTAACCTTTTGAACTGAGGAAATGAGTAAGCAAACTACTCAGAGGGAAACGCGGCAATGCTGTACACAGTTGAATAATCAAATGACGTGAGA